ATTTCTACAAGACACGGTCAGACAACTTTCTACCTGAGACAAGCGCAAGTATCTACACTTCATAGCGAGAAAGTATGGTGAAAAGTACTGGTACGTCAAAGAACACACGTTATTTGGTTGTTCAAGGTGACTTAAAAAGAAACACGAGATGGAAGCAAATTTTAGAAATGTGTTAGAACCACAGACGTTGGTGAAATATTGAAGAGCCATGAGAGCTTAGCAGCAGAAAAAATCCTAGCAAGATTTTTAGCTCTTAGACGGTTAGACCAAACCAAGTCTGGATTTCTAGAAAACACGCTCAGACAACTTTCTACCTGAGTCAAGCGCAAGTATCTACACTTCATAGCGAGGTAGGATGGTGAAAAGTGCTGGTACGGCAAAGAACACACGTTATTTCGTTGTTGAAGATGAGTGAAAAAAAACTCGAGTTTGAAGCAAATTTTGGAGAAGTGTTAGAACCATAGACGTTGATGAAATGCTGAAGAGCCATGAGAGCTGAGAACCAGAAGAAATCCTAGCAAGATTCTTAGCTCTTGAAAATGAAATACTAAACATTTGGACTCTAATAAATTTTAATAATTAACAAATACATATTATAAATATTTAATATAAATTCTATTTATTTCAGATAAAAAAATATCTAAAATTAAAACTTTTTTTGTTTATAGAGACATGGAATTTTGAGAATAGTCTTCTCTAAGAGGAAGGTCTCGTCCAAAAATGGTAAACCATTTGATGATCATGTCGACTATATCACTGAATTTGACAAGTGCTTGAGCATCATCATTTTTCAACGTTCCATCGAGTGTCACTCTTGTTGTATTGAATATTCTTATGACATTAAACACATGAAATTTGATATTCTCGCAATACCGGTGAACACCGTGGTTCGACAGCATGTTCTGATATATTGATTCATGTCTCTCTGTTTCCTGATTGAAATTATCAATCTGGATCCATTTTCCCCAATAATCTCTTTCCTTCAAAATCGAATTGAAATTATTATTAACTTCATCGAATCTTCTGAGACAAAGTTCCAATTCATTGTCTTTATAATAATCTTCTATTATTACGTTACATTCATGAAATATATCTGAAATATCTTCGCTGGCTGACATGTAATTATCATTATCATAATAAGCCATCTTTGGGTAGGATAGATGTATATGTTCACTGAATGCCTTGTTGCTTCAGACTGATGGATTGAACATACTTGATAGCTATATATACCAAAAAAGTTGATACAGGTTTATGGAAAGTGGAATGGTATGGATCATTTTTTAGGTTGGTATTGATCATTTTTAGGTTGGTATTGATCATTTTTAACCATGAATGTAAACAAAAGTTAATGTTCACGGAATCTAATCTATAAAAAAAAAATAGGAAAGTCTGCACGAAAAGTTTATGCAAATAAACAATTAAAATAATTCAGTTTAAATCATGGAAAAGTGATAGTTTGTTCCAGGAAAGGGAGGTAAACATTGAGAATTTTATTGCCACAATAGACTAATCACTTCATCCCTTCCACTTTATCTTTTTCTGCGCTGCAGAAAATCATCAATGTTTCAGTTACAAGCAGCAAGAGCTTCAGTGAAGTAACATTTCCACGGGACTCAGGGACGGAATCGAGAAAATCTTACACCAGTGCAACGTGATAATAGAAGAATATTATTAAAAATATTAAATATTATTAAAATAATAATAATTTGAAATTCAACATCAAATTTATAATTCATATATGAAGGAACATTTCCATGGGACTCAGAGATGGAATCAAGAAAATCTTACACCAGTGCAACGTGATAATCGAAGAATATTATTATAATAATAATAATTTGAAATTCATATATGAAGTAACATTTCCATGGGACTCAGGGATGGAATCAAGAAAATCTTGGACCAGAGCAAATCGATATGATTTTGACACAAAGATGTTTATATTCGGAGTGAGTATTTTTGTTATTTCACACAAATTACTGTATTTGTTGCTATGCTAATCGTTTAAACTAAATTATCTTAATTTATATTTACATACTAATTCGAACAGTAATTGAAGTAATTGTCATTATCATAATAAGCCATCACAATTTTGATAGGATATATGTTCACTAAATGCCTTGTTGCTTCAGACTGATGGGTTGAAAATTTTCCAAAACATTTATACCAAAAATGAAGACACAGGGTAATAAAAGTAATGAAAAGTGGGGGAATGCTTAATTTGTAAGGTGGCCATAAAAATCAAAATATAATATTCACGGAATCTCCTACCTAAAACTTACTTTAACATTTATTGAAAATTATAAAATTATGCACGATTTACCAAATGTTCCAGTGCAGGAAAAGTTTGTGCAAATCCTGCAGTAATTTACCAAATTGTAGAAATTTTTAAATTATTTGGTAAATAAATAATTTTAAATCATGTAAAAGTGGAAGTTTGTTTCAGATAAGAACTTTGAGAATTTTATCCTCATTTTATTGCCACAATAGATGCTAATCACTTCCACTTTTTTCCAGTGAAATGAGTATTTTTGTTATTTCACACAAATATAGAGAATTACTGTATTTGTTGCTATGCAAATCGAATAAATTAAATTATCGTAATTTATATTTACATACTAATTCGAACATTTAGTAATTGTCATTATCATAATAAGCTATCTTAATTTTGATAGGATAGATGTTTCTGATTGGGTATATGTTCTTTAAATGCCTTGTTGCTTCAGACTGATGGATTGAAAATTGTCCAAAACATATATAAGTCGGAGTATTTAAGGCAACATCACTTGATCAAACATCGTAATCGACACGTGCAGAGATTCAAAGCAGAGATACAAATGCATGATCGGAGCAGCACATCTTCGGGGTCTTCAGGGAAGAAGGGTATTTCCCCCGGAGGAGTGGGAGTAGAATACGTCAGCGGGAATGGAGGCATTCAAGATTCAGACTGGTGAACTGGAAGGCCACAGTAGCTGATGTAGATCACTAGCTCTAAGATTGCAGAAGGATTAGTTTACTAAGTTTATTAACTATTGTTAGTGGTTATTTGTAACAATGGCTTCTCCAAACGGGAGCATTCCTGACGATTCCACATATATATATACAAAATATGAAGATACAAGGTAATAAAATTAATGAAAAGTGGGGGGAATGGTATGTTAAATTTGTAAGGTGGCTATAAAATCAAAATACAATATGCTCCTACTTAAAACTTACTTTAACATTTTTTAAAATTAAAAAATTATGCACGATTTACCAAGTGTTCCCTTACAGGAAGAGTTTAGTAAACCCTGCAATATTTACTAAATGTTCCAGTGCAGGAAAAGTTTGTGCAAATGCTGCAGTAATTTACCAAATTGTAGAAATTTTTAAATTATTTGGCAAATATATAATTTTAAATCATGTAAAAGTGAAAATTTGTTTCAGGTAAAAAATGGGTGTAAACTTTGAGAATTTTATCCTGATTTTATTGCCACAATAGATAATAATATTCAAATTTATTGACCAATAAAACAAATTTGGCCAAAAAGAACCGAATCAGTTTTCCAAATAAAAATAGAAGATCGGTCCCGAAAAAAAAAACCCCAAAATTTACCTGGTCATGCACAATTAGCCCAATAAATAAAAAGTAAATAATCAAGGTAAAAATTATATAAATATATAGAAAAATACATAAACAGAAAAATATAAAATAATAGCAGCTGTATAAAATCATCGATAATTGAGTATATAAACCAACAAATAAACAAACTAACAAACAAAGTGCACGCACCGAATACAAAAAACTTCTAAAAATGCTAATCACTTCATCTCTTCCACTTTTTCCAAATACGAATACACCTGTATTTTATTTTTTGTATAAATATGCTGGAGAAAATCATCAATGTTCGTCACTCCCCAAATTCCCTGATTTTATCCATAAACTCCAAGATCGACATGCCTCCCACCAATCTCCGCCAGTACCCGCAAACCCAAAAGCAAAATCCCCTTCCCTCCGGTAGTCCTCGCCCACAACACACCCCCGGACAACGATCCTGACATAACACAATTCTTAAACACCATCAAACCCATGTTCCTCCACCCAGACCCAAACCTCCGCCTACCAAACCACCGCCCACCAAACCCTGACAACTAATTCCAACCATTTTCTTTTTTTCCAGCTAGCATTAAGTTCAGCAAGAGCTTCAGTGAAGTAACATGGTCCCATGGGACTCAGGGACGGAATCAAGAAAATCTTACACCAGAGCAAATCGATATGATTTTGACACAAATATAGAGAATTACTGTATTTGTTGCTATGACAATCGTATATACTAAATTATCTTAAATTATATTTAAATTAAGGAAAATTGAAGAATCAAGACGTTGTCAACATTTTTTTTTATGTCGTGTAATTTTATTTACAATCTGTTCATCAATGTGAACATTGAGTTAATTTAAGATTGCGGTTGACATTTTTATTGGCTGTCGTCTTGTAGGTTAACTTCAGTAGTATATTGATACTCTGCAATTCCACTATGTCCTTTGACTGTGAATCTGCTGCTATCCTTAACACTGTCATTGTCCATCAACGCCAATAAGATGACATATGACAGTTGATATACATAAGATAACTGTCAAATTATTGACGTTAATTGGAGTAACGTCAATAGGTTGACATATGACAATTGACATACATAAGTCAACTGTCATTTGTCAAAAGGTTTTGGGATTTCAACACCAAATTTACAAAATGTATTCGATTATTCTTAAACTATTTCTATCTGTTGATTTTAATTATTGGAAATTAAGGAAAATTGAAAAATTAAGACGATGTCAACAAATAAATAATTTATTATAAATACAGAAATAAATAATGAAAACGAACGCAATACAAATTAACCGAATGATATATTAATCTGTATCGGGTGTTTTCGGAATCGAAACTGTCAAATTAATGACGTTTATTGGATAAACGTCATTAATTTAATTTTATCAACTGTCAAACGATTCGGTTAGTCAAGTTACTTAACGTATTTAGTGTAAACTACATCATTGTAGGGCGAGTAGCTAGGGTAGGTGTGCGTGGGATAATTGTGAGTTGGTGGGGATGGTTTTGGGCTTTCAACACCAACGTCGCTTCTGTCTAAGAAATGGTGGTGGGAGCTAGGATAAGAAGGGTAGGTGATGTGAAGAGGTGCAGGAATCGCAGCAGGATGAGAATGAGGAACCCTGGCTTCTTGCATCCTCGCCAACACAGAGCTGAGTCCAACAACAAGAAGCATGAATCCGATGACGCCGTTGTTTACGGAAACTATGGTAACCAGTACAAGCATGGTGAAGGCTATACCCATCTTGAAGAAGATTGCTGGTAAGATGATGGCCATCCTCTTCATGGCGTGATGAACGAACGTCCTTCCTGCAAAACAAATCAATACAAATTTTAAAACAACAATTTTAGGTCTCGGAAAGAAAGTGAATAGTTTCCGTCTGTAACCTCGATAATCGCGGACTAGTAAAAGTATATACATTATAATTATTGGCTGTTGTTCCTACAAATTCTCGGACGTCGGCAAAATGCGGGTCAAGACGATCGTCGATAGAAAACTCATCCGCTTCCACCCAAAACTCAATGGTAATCGCTGCGGTGTCGTAACGATTTCCAGTTTTCCATTTTATCGTACCCAATTTTTAAATTCGAATACGGTCATCCTGCGTTCTGGTACATTCTTTCCGTTACGATTTTACAATTGCATTCGTGCTTGGACTGTCAAAGAACGTACAATGTTCTACATAATTTTGTTACTTGACATCAAAATAAACAAAATAATTTATTTTTTTCTTCAGAGATAAATTTCATATTAATGTAACCATGGTAACAAAATAACAATAGCAGCTGTCATATTAATTTCAGTAATATCCGAATTAGTAGACTTAACTAAATTAGATATAATTTCGAAAATATTACTAAAAAAAAATCAATAATAATATTTGAATATTTATATATGTAAATTAAAATAGTCATTAAATTTAAACCAATTTGAAAAATTCATTGAGTTACATAAAATTAAAATTTTTATGTTCATTATCACCAATTTAGTTAATTTGTTACAAACGATTTTGATGAATATTAAGATGAAATTTTGTGTATAAATACTAAAACTATTTCTCTATTAACGTTTTTTCTTCAACGTTATCTATAATTAGTAATATTTGTTTTTTTTATGAATAAACTCTAAATTCTAAAAATAATCTATCGAAACTCTAGAATTGTCGGTAAACGTTTAGAAAATACGTTAGACTTTCGCTGCGAGTGCAAAGTTCAAAACGCCCAAGATCATTTCTATTTCCTCAGAATATTACTTTCGTTTCGTGCAATTTTCATATTTGGAACGATTTTGTCCTATAAATTATCCCATTATCCTATAAACGTCAATTTTCTGTAATTTCTATAATTCCAATACAAATCTTCATTTCACTAACTAATTCGAATGTATATTTCATAACGTCTTTACTTGTATCGTCGGTTTTCTGTAATTTCACTATTTGCACTAATTCAAACGATGTTTTGTAATATCTAACTAAAAAATGAATAGATTCTATACAACTTTTAATTTTTCTTAGTTTTGTGATATTTTTGTGATTGTGATCATTTACCTTCTTCATAAAGTTGTCTTCCAATAACACTGACATCTTGAGAGCTGTCCTCCTTGTCTCCATCGTCGGCGGCTAAAACCGCCGTAAAGCACCATGCACAAACCACCACCAGAAGCAGCACCAAACTACTTTTGTCGTAAGCCATTATTTGATAGTCAGTCGATGTCAGTCGATGCACGAATGATTGACTTCCACACCTTCGATTCCAACTTAAATAAACAAACGAGGGCTGTCCATCATTCCTAACCGAAGCCAATTCGATTTCAAGACACGTGCCTCGAATGTACGTGATGGCATTGTCTTTCCGCAGAAAACTTCTTCAAATTTGGCACCGACCAATTTTCCAACTATCTAGTTCAAAAATAACAATTTCGAGAGGCTTTGTACACGGAAATCGTGCTCTCTTTCGATCGAATCGGGTCAAAATGCAATTGTTCTCTGGTGCGGTTTTTGTTTCATGTTCTTCTTTTTTTTTGGGTTTGCTTTTTTTGGTATTGTGCAAGTGTCATTTAGTGGGTTATTAGATACTAATCAAATTTGTGATTTGAATTTCAACTGTTGCAATTATTTTTTGGAATATCCGTTATGATGATCCACGTCATGTGCATTATTCATTTGATAAGTAATCTAACCTAATATTTGTATAGCGATTTTTGAATATGACATATGTCATTATTGAAGTAAGAAAATGACATTGACAAATGTCAAATCTTAACAGATTTATTGGAATTATTTTATAATTTATATATTTGCGTTGCAATTTTTGAATATACATTAATTATGACATATGTCATAATTGAAAAAAAGTAACAGTGACAGTTTACATTGTTTTCCGAACTAATTTGTTGACAAATATTGATCAAAATTAAACAAATTTACAATTATAATAATTAATAATTAGATTTTAAGAAAATGAACTCAATATTTTTCTTTCTAATCTAACCTAAAAAAAAAAGGAGTAATTACGATTACAATAGGCAGATTAAGATCTAAATGAAGTCTGCGATCTGAATATTGTTGTAGAACAAAAAAAAAATCACCTGTATATTATGTAAAGCATAAAGATCAGAATCCAGTTAATTGCATTTGATTTAATCCTTTGCAAATTCGTGCTGCGAACTGTAAATTCGCACGAGATTAGAAGGCTTTTTCCCATTTTGCTTGGTTGGCATCGAGGTTAGCAAAACCAAACACAATTATATCGGAATCCCGTCAGCTTGGAAAGTGTGATATGATTTGCGATTGTTTGTGGGAACGAACGCGTTCTTCTCGTTGCGTGTGCATCATCATCATCATAACCTGATGCTTCTCACCATACCTGAATTACCATGGTAATAGCAGATGGATCAGCTCAAGTGTGAAATTCTATTTGCTCCGTAATACTTAATATTTACAAATACATTCATTAACAAACATCAACATTTAAATTGTAATCATTAGTTTAAGCAAATTGGATAATGATTCTGAAATAAATTGCTGAGATCATGCAGTTTGTAAAATTTATAGTTAAACGGTTCATTGTTGTTTCAAAACGTAATTAAGCTCATTTTTCTTTGAGAAATTTTAAAATACTTTAATTAATATACAATTGTTCAGATGTTAAAATAATGTGGGAAACTTATTATTTTTTAGGTAGTAGTATTAGGTTTAACCTAAATTGGTTGGTTTCGTTTCCAACTGTTTCGGTAACTTATTACAAGTGAAATTTTAATTCAAAAACGTTACAAACAACAAGAATAATTGTAGTGCAGAAGAGCCGTTATTGCCTCGTGAACAGTAACCAAATACAGTTTTTTTTTGTTGGTTATTTTTTTTAGTTGTTTTTTATTGAGATCTATTGTATCGTCGAACAAAAGATTCACGTAATTGAGTAAATAGCAAATATATTAAGTTATTGACAATTTCGTTAAACAATGCAAATTTAAAGATTCTATAATTTCTTCTGTGGACAACATGAATCAATAACGAAATTGTAACCTATTGGATACATACTTCGCATAGTGCGGATCCGTCAATATTCCGCACTGTTTGAATCCAGATCGAAGTAGCATAAATAGATACTTGATCGAGAGTTATAATTGATTGTGAGGACAAAATGAATCAATAATGAAATTGTAACATATTGGATACAGACATACTTCCCATAGTGCGGATTCGTCAATATCCCGCACTGTTTGAATCCAGATCAAAGTAGCATAAATAGATACTTGATCATACTTTACTTGGTCATAATTTATTGTGTGGACAAAATGAATCAATAATGAAATTGTAACATATTGGATACAGACATACTTCCCATAGTGCGGATCCGTCTATATCCCGCACTGTTTGAATCCAGACCGAAGTAGCACAAATAGATACTTGATCGAGAGTCATAATTTATGGTGTGGACAAAATGATTCAATAATGAAATTGTAATATATTGAATACAAAAATACTTCTCATAGTACGGATCCGTCAATATCCCGCACTGTTTGAAACCTAATCGAAGTAGTACAAATAGTTTTTCGACTGAAAGTCATAATTTATGGTGTGGACAAAATGAATCAATAATGAAATTGTAACATATTTAATACAGAAATGCCTCGTATAGTGCGTTTCCATCAATATACAGCACTGTTTGAAACCGGATTAATATAGCACAAGTAGATACTTGATGGAAAGTCATAATTTATTGTGTGGAAAAATGAATCAATAATGAGATTACAACATATTGAATACATAAATGCCGGTTCCATACATAAATGTACGGTTCCATCAATATCCAGCACTGTTTGAAGTAGTGAATCCGGACTGATCGAAGCCGGTATTGCTGTACATTACAATATAAACTATAAAATTTGTGAATTTCGTTAAAATTATAAAGAAATATTAATACTTTTATTTGATGTTGATTTTGAAGATTAAGTTGCAATAGAATCGCTTTTTAAATAATTGAAAGCGTGCTTTTAATAAGACTTTGAACGTCGTTTCGTTTGAGTCAAGGTAATAAGTATAATTATTACCGATGCATCGTGAAAATAATGATACATCATTAGTAACTGTTAACTGTTACTTCTTTTTCTTTCATTCTTTACAGATGATGAGGTTTTTATGAGCGTAACTTTTCGAAAACTAATAGTGGAAACATCATTAGAAATACGTATATTCTTTGGAACAAAGTAATTGTAATTCATGGTAAGTAAAACGAATTTCTTGTAGAAATTATAAAAAAAAAATAACATTTATTTATCTAAACGGACTATAAACATATGGAACATAGGGCACTTAATAACTAGTTTTGTATAATTTACTATAACATTTTAGAAACGAGTTTTTCAATGGATTAAAAATATGTGAAGTAAATAAATATTTTTAATGTTGGGACAACAATTAAGTAAATTTAATTAATAGAAAGTCTTGTAAAGTGTTTATAATTATATTGAGTTCATAGAAAAAGTGTGTTAAAAAAATAAATGTAATGTTGGTTCAAGTTCCAAAGTTTAATGCTAATAGTTTACGGTATGAATTTACTGTTATTTTTATTAACTTTCATATTTGAATTTTTCGAAATATAAAAGTATATTGAAAATGCATTTTCCCATTTCTAAATCTGAAGAAATAGCATTAATAAACGAGAATGCTATAGATTACAATAATAACAGTTGAAAGGTCATAGTTTTGTCTTTACTTTGCATATTAATTGGTCTCATTAGTAACTGTGATTATTCAGTAATTTTGGAAGCTCTAATTTTGATAAATTATTAGAGGAAAACAATAATTGCCACAAATCTTATGATAGGTTAGATAGGCCATAGTTTTGTCTTTAATTTAGTTGTCTGAAAAAGTAATTAGTGTCCAAGGTTATTAATTAAAATGTGAATATAGTATTTTCGAATTTTTTGCTCACGTTTGACAGCTTATTACAAGAACATAATAAACACCATATGTTTGAAAGTAGGCTCATTAGAAATTCCATAGTTTTATCATTAATTTTCGTATTCGAAAATCTAATTAGTATACGTGGTTATTGAGTAATGAAAGAAAACGTGAAGACGTGTACCACGTTGTTATTGATTTATTATATAAACCGTGAAGACTGTATTTTCAACTTTGATAGCTTATTACAAGAATTTGGTAAAGACCACACGATCGGCTGTAGGTTCATAAGAAAGATCATAATTTTGTTTTCAATTTGCATATTCGAAGATTTAATTAGCGTTTGTAGTTATCGAGTAATTAAATAAAATGTAAAGATTCAAGCTCGAATTTTAATGTACAAATTTGATAGCTTATTTTGGGTAAATAATAAATTCTACAAATCTGGCTGTAAAATAATTATAAAGATTATAGTTTTATGTTTAATTTGCATATTTAATGATCTAATTAGCGTACTCTGTTATCGAGTAATTCAATAAAACGTGTACCACGTTCTTATCGATTTCTTATATAAATCGTGATGACTGTATTTTCAACTTTGATAGCTTATTACAAAAATTTGGTAAAAACCACACGATCGGCAGAAGATTCAATGGAAATATCATAATTTTGTCTTCAATTTGCATATTCGAAGATATAATTAGCGTTTGTGGTTGTCAAGTAATTAAATAAAATGTAAAGATTCAAGCTTGAATTTTAATGTACAAATTTGATAGCTTATTTTGAGTAAATAATAAATTCTACAAATTTGGCTGTAAAATAATTATAAAGATTATAGTTTTATGTTTAATTTGCATATTTAATGATCTAATTAGCGTACTCTGTTATCGAGAAATTCAATAAAACGTGAAAACGTGTACCACGTTCTTATCGATTTCTTATATAAATCGTGATGACTGTATTTTCAACTATGATAGCTTATTACAAGAATTTGGTAAAAACCACATTATCGGCAGAAGATTCATTAGAAATATCATAATTTTGTCTTCAATTTGCATATTCAAAGATATAATTAGCGTTTGTGGTTGTCAAGTAATTAAATAAAATGTAAAGATTCAAGCTTGAATTTTAATGTACAAATTTGATAGCTTATTTTGAGTAAATAATAAATTCTACAAATTTGGCTGTGGAATAATAATAAAGATTATAGTTTTATGTTTAATTTACATATTTAATGATCTAAATAGCGTACTTTGTTATCGAGTAATTTAATAAAACGTGAAGACGTCTACCACGTTCTTATCGATTTCTTATATAAATCGTGATGACTGTATTTTCAACTTTGATAGTTTATTACAAGAATTTGGTAAATACCACACGATCGGCTGTAGGTTCATAAGAAAGATCATAATTTTGTCTTCAATTTGCATATTCGAAGATTTAATTAGCGTTTGTGGTTATCGAGTAATTAAATAAAATGTAAAGATTCAAACTCGAATTTTAATGTACAAATTTGATGGCTTATTTTGGGTAAATAATAAATTCTACAAATTTGGCTGTGGAATAATTATAAAGATTATAGTTTTATGTTTAATTTGCATGTTTAATGATCTAATTAGCGTACTTTGTTATCGAGTAATTCAATAAAACGTAAAGGAGTGCGTGCAATGTAGAATTGTTAAAATTGTATTAGATCAATGTTTGTATGTAATCAAATGATATGAATGATAGGAGATGAATGAGCGTCGATTCCGATTTGGAGCGGTCAGTAGGTAATCCGTTAAATCGCAGTGCGGTCGGAGAGTCTCTGGAATTGGGGCAAAGAAGCGAACGCCGTCGAGATTCCACTTCTTCGACTCCGTTGGCCGCAAACAGTCGGTCACTATGTACGTGCTCAGTGGTTTCGGTGCGCTCCTCTTCATCGCGATACTCACGTGCTGCACGTCCACGGATACCGGAAACACGACGGAGAAGGCCTCATCCTCCACCGATTTAGCAGTCGTTTCAAGAGGAATGAAGAGCACCATGTACAAGGTTATACCATACCTCTTGGTACCAGCGCTCGCGATGGCAGGAATCATGCCTTGGATTCTGCCAGGAATCCAGCTGGCCGTCACTATGGTAACCATGCTCAACAACATGGCCTTCTCCTCCGCCCTCTTCATGCTCATCAGGAACTACATCTTCAATACCAAGCAGGAGGAGCACATCGTCTACGTCAATCACGGATACAAGAACAAGCACAAACATAGGTGATTTTCGGAGAATTAGTGTTCATTTTAGACAAAAATGAAAAAAAAAACAACTAAATCATTCTTGCCTTTGCCAAACGTAAAGTAAATAAATAAACTAGTGTACCTTAGCAACCAAATTACTAACATAACAACTAACAACGTGCATCGATTTCGATGCATCATCAAGAAGTAATTTCGTTTATTTTTGAAACGACTATTTATTATTTTACTTTTACTCTTCACAACTACCTCAATTATTTTTATTAATTATTTATTTAATAGATGTATACTGTTTGTTATCTCCTTTTCTTTGTTACTTTATTGTTATCAAAACGTTTGTTTTCAATTTTGTTAGTATTTATTGAATGAAGTCATTTCATGTGCAATTTCTCTTCGTGATGATATTTTCAACGAAACACAAATAAATTATTTTATAAAATTTTTCGTTATTTTCTTAAACCACATAAAAAATGCACTAATTAAAGAACGTAAGTATATATTCAACGATTTGCATATTAAGTACAAATCTAAATATAGATCGATTTTGGAAAGTTAATTTATTATACAAAAAAATGCATTTCTCTAGAAAAATGACAAAATTAGTTCATGTTTTATTCCTATATTTACGTTGATGAAAAAATGGAAACTTTTATCTACTATAACTAATTAATTCGTATAATTTTACTAAAATTTCCATTTACAAATCAAAATTCGAAGGTATGAAAATAAATATATTAAACGTATAAATTTGTGTTAATTATACAAGTTTTCCGTTACAACATGAGCTTTACTTGTTAAAATATTCATTTACATTTACTTCAAATAATTAATAGTAAAATATTCGTAAAAAATCATGCATAATTAATGAAATTTCAAGTTCATGTCTAAAGTGAGTAAATGTAATTAAATAAAAAAAACTTGGAATTTCATTTTGAATTTTTGATTGAATCAATTAATGTAGTAATAATATATTTAATTGCTTCCTGTGAATCTTGTCACTATCAATAGTTTTCATAACAACGAATTAATTTATACTTTTTTTGAAGGTTGTTATTATGTTTATGTAAAAACTTTTACAGTATGTAAGATGTTGGAAGAAACGCTTTCAAAATGAATTATCACGATTTAGTTTCTATTGAGTTGTTTAAAAAAGATACAAAAGATCATATATTCTTATGGTTTCATTCACTTTCCTGTAATTCGCGTTTAAAATTGAAAAAAAAGGAAAATTAATGTTCGAACAAGTAGTGTTTTCAGTGATTTTCTCGAAAAGTATAATAGATTCAATTGATCCAAAAGACGCATATGAAACCTGAATGTATGGGGAATGAGGAGAGTATTCATACATTATTATGGTTTCATTCTTTTTCCTGTAATTCGCGTTTAAAATTAAAGAAAAAAAACAAGGAAAATTAATGTTCGAAACAGTAGTGTTTTCAGATTTCAGTGATTTTCTCGGAAAGTATAATAGATTGAATTGAACCAAAAGATGCATATGAAACTTGAATATTTGGGGAATGTAGAGAGTATTCATAAATTGTTATGGTTTCATTCATTATCCTGTAATTCGCGTTTAAAATGAAAAAAAAAAACAAAGAAAATTAATTTTCGAAAAAGTAATGTTTTCACATTTCAGTGATTTTCTCGGAAAGTATAATAGATTGAATTGATCCAAAAGATGCATATGAAACCTGAATGTTTGGGGAATGTAGAAAGTATTCATACATTGTTATGGTTTCATTCGTTTTCATGTAATTCGCGTTTAAAATTGAAGAAAAAAAAATGGAAAATTAATGTTCGAAACAGTAGTGTTTTCAGTGATATTCTCGGAAAGTATAATAAATTGAATTGATCCAAAAGATGCATATGAAACCTGAATGTTTGAGGAATGTAGAGAGTATTCATGCATTGATGTGGTTTTGTACATTAAGCTGTAAATTGAAGCAGTGTTTAGACCGGATTTGTGATTCATAGATATTATGTAGGCCACCCAATATACTCGCAATAAGGTAAGCGTTTGATCAGTGCTATTACTAATTATATAATTTAGTTTGGATCTTAAGATTACGAATTTTAGAATATTATCAATAACACATTTATTTTGTAAATATTGAAAAATACAAGAAATTCAAAGAAACTTAACATTTTATTCAACAATTTAACACGTTATAAAAGGTAAATTTTGTATACTAATTTCTATTTTATATACTACATATATTTCTAAGACTAATTACGTTGTGAACTGTTACTTATAGAATTAATATAAATTTTGATCATTTCATTGGGACTTGTTGATGATCAAGGCGGCTTCCGTATCTTCGATTGTCATATCTTCATCGCCCCATCCCCAGATCTCTTTGATCCTAATTTTTCTGCTCCCGTCGCCTGTTCTTAAAGCCCTTCTAGTCACGACCTCATGAGGAACGGTCTTCAAATCGTAAGCCCAACCGAATTTTGCGCAAAGATCAATGAAGGCCAACGTCAAATTCAACCGGTAATTCCCCAACTCCGAAGTCTTGTAATCCCACGGGAACACGTGATGGTAGTTGTGCCAACCCTCGCCGCACGCCAAGTGAGAGACGAGTTTGTTCTCGGTTGGACCAATGTTCCTGAAAGCAAATGAAATATTGTGAAAAAACAAAACAAAAATTGTTGCTGCAACTGTCGTACCTGTCGTAAGGTTTCATGCCGTAAATGTGAGCAGCACTGTTTACGAGCCACGTGGAATGGACGCTGAAGATGTAACGAAAGGCAGCAGCCATCGCGAATGAAGGATAAAGATCTTCGTGCCACAAGTAGACAGGTATCAGGGTTGGTATGAGGAAGCAGCAAATCAGCATTAAAGGTGCGTAATACCTGTAAAAATCAAAGATTAATTAATGATTAAGATTAATTAAAGCTGTTGCTTATACCTGTGTTGAAACATCAGAATGGGATCATTAGTGATATCGGTCATATCGATGACTTTTCCTTTTTCCTTCACTTCCTTCTGCTTCTTAACAAAGAGCCAACCCATATGGGAGAAGAAAAAACCTTTATAAATCAATTAAGTTAATCAAGTGAATTTTCATGTTTTGTAATTGGTTTTTTACCGCGTTTCGCGTTATGAGGATCGGCGTCTGTGTCCGTGAACTTGTGATGCATCCTGTGATCTCTGACCCAGACGAAGACGCTGTTCTGGAAAGCCGTGGTTTGGAAGAACAGCAGAAGAATCCTCAGCGGAAGTTTCGCCTTATAAGATCTGTGCGACCAAAGTCGATGAGCTCCGGCCGTTATACCTTGCGCCACGAGAAGACCGTAAGCGTAAGCTAAAAACCAACAATAATACAAGTGTTAAATCCAAATAAAAAAACCAATTCAGAAATACCGAAGAGGAGGATTCCGATTTTCCAATCCCTGAGCGCCACGTAAACTCCATGGAAACTTAAGACGTGAAGAACGATGAAGGCGATGATGTTCCTCCAGACGATATCCCACTCGTATTTCCGTTTCCTGTCTTCATTTGTTTCCGGTTGCGAGGATTTCCCGCCGCCCACGATCTCGATGTGCGAGTGGAACGCGAGCGACATCTTCTACGCAACACAAAACGACGATGTCCATTAATGTCTTTCTTCACATACTAGGCAAGAAATATAAGAAACGGGAATCGTTTGTAACAAAATCCGTATGTCGTCTCAGCAAATTCGCAATAATCGCGGGAATCATCAACATCGATTTTAGGTGTGAGTTTGCAAATGCAAGCGAATGTTTAGAAACGTAAAGCAATGAAATTTAAAGAAATTAATTTATACATTTTAGAAATTTGTTAACAATTCTTCGTCTGTTAGTTCTAATAGAACTTTTTCTCTGATTCTTTACACACAAAATTTATACATTTTCAAGTACTATTAACAGTTTTTTGCAACAAATTTCTAAGAAATATCATAGAAATCCCTTAGAAATTGTTTAAACATGTTATAGAAATTTCATATATATTTCTTAGAAATCTCATATAAAACTTTTTGCTTAAAATATTTTCTTTTACTATTTTAGTTATTTACAGTAGAATTTTGTACTGAATTATTTACAGAAATTATAATATTTGTAAACGAGGAGATAAAGAAAGTATTAGTTATATTAACAGTAAAAAAAAGATTTTTATTAGAAAAATATTCAACTTTTTTATATAAGTACAAAGGGTTAGTTTTCAACGTTTGGTTAGAATTTATAAAATTTAAATAAATAAATAGACATCATTTACAAGTACATACAAAAGCAATTTGATATTTGTCAGTAGACAATAATCCAACGAAATCATCCACATTTGATTTTTATTACTTATCAGTGTAGATTTTTAGAAAAAATACTTTTTTCTTCAGATTTTTCATTGAAAATGTTAAAATAATTAAATATGGTTTTAAACCAAGAAACGGGTTTAATTAATATATGAAATTTCACGTAATTTGTCTCAATAAAGCAAAAAAAAAAACAGATCGTTTTTTTCTCTGTAAATGCAAAATTCGTTAATAATTAATGGATTGCCGCAATATTAGTGATAACAAAATCATCAGTATTCTTATTTTTAAAACATTCGATTAAAGTTGGCTGTGAAATTTGCGGTTTTCGATAATTCAGATGTTTTCTAGTAGACGCAATGAAATTAAATAGTTGAATTAGTGTTGGAAGGAATGTAAAAACCTAGGGTAACGACAACGTAAGTAACTAAGGTAACTTAAAACAAATGAACCTTTAAGTGTCTAGTAACCAAAACAAAATGAATACAATGATGATATTATTCGGATTTTTCCCATTAAAATTATAGTTAAAAAAAAATGGTCTTTGTGTAATTTTTTTTCAGGATTAATCCTGAAATATTTACAAAATGATATTTTTTTTTACATATGAGAGCAAATCGAAGTTGCTAAGTAATCCTTGTTACGTCGCGTTCGTGCATCCGAAACTATGGTAACGGAAATCAACAAGTGGTAACTAAACGCTTCAATTTTTCGCTGTTGCATGGAAACAAGTACACTTAAAACCTAATGATAACTAGTGCAAACGCATATGAACAAATAAATATATTTTTTTTATAGAAGCTGCCTGTTGTGGACTTCAGCAGCATTCAAGTCTTCGGCGGTCATATCACCATCGCCCCATCCCCAAATACCGCCCGCTATGCCGTGACCTTCTCTTCGCTGATCATCCTCGAGCAGTTCTTCCGATTGAGTTGGAGATCTGGTTCCATCTCCGGTGCGTTTGGATCGCCTCTCGATCATATCACGCGAGACCGTTTTGAGATCGTAAGCCCATCCCATCCAGGCGAAGAAGTCGATGATGCTGGTGGTAACGTTGAGTTTGTAGCCGAGCTCAGACGCTTTGTAATCCCACGGGAAGATGTGGTGGTAGTTGTGCCATCCCTCGCCGAAAGCAATTGCAGCAACGAACTTGTTTTCTGTAGGTCCAATGTTCCTGCACATCAAGAAAGAAACATTAGATAATTGTTGAGATGAAAATTGGTAATTTACTTGTCGTATGGTTTGGTGCCGAAGATGTGAGCTGCACTGTTCACCAACCAAGTCCCGTTCAAGGAGAGCGTGTACCGAAGAATGGTGGTCACGTACCAACTGATGTACAGCTTCTCGTTCCAGTAGTAGCACGGCACAAGCATCGGAACCAGAAGGCAGCAGATCGGAGTCAGCAAAAGGTAATACCTGAATACAAAAATGAAGCATTCACATAACTTTCCCCTCAAACGTTTTTCACTTTCTCCATTGAGAGAGCGAACATTTTCCCATAAGACACGTACTTCTTTTGGAACCTCACCACTGGATCAGCAAGCATATCGCTCATATCAACAGTTTTCCCTTTCGTCATGATATCCTTATGCTTCCTCACCAACAACCAACCGACGTGAGAAAAGAAGAAACCTAGAAAATCAATTCGTTTAAATCCAACAATTTATTTTTACGAAATCAAACCTCTTTGCGCGTTATGCGGATCGGCGTCCGTATCTGTGAACTTATGATGCACCCTGTGATCCCTCACCCATTCGTACAGATCGTTCTGGAATGCTATGGTTTGCGCAAAGGCCAGAAGAATCCTCAACGGTAGTTTAGCTTTGTAGCAGCGATGAGCCCACAATCTGTGCGCTCCGGCTGTTACACCTTGCGCCCCGAAGATCGTCAAAAATAAACCTAAATCAATAATTGAATTATATTTGATTTTTAAACTACAATTATTAAGTACGTACTCCAGAAGAAAGTTTTCCATTTGCACACGCAGAAGAGTAGGTATAAGCCGTAGAAGCTGAAGATGTGCATGTAAAGCATTCCCAGCACGTTCCTCCACACTATGTTCCAAGAGTATTGCGGCCCTTGTGGCGTCCTCTTGGGTCGGACTACTTGATGCTGTTGCTTAATAGGGGATTCCCCGCTTCTAGTAGCTTCATCCAAGAAGAGAGCCGAAGCTCCTATGAGGTTTGGAGCCATTTTCCAAAACTACCTAAATTGTTGAAAGAAACACAACTTGCTGGATAATCTCTCAATTTTTCAACACAATCCAACTGTTTAACTAACTTTTTTTTTCTTACTAATCTTTACAATTTCCCAATGAATCTTGAACAATAATTGAATTTTTTCAATTATTTTTTTTTGTATAAGTAAATGTAAACACTACAAAAGATATGCAAACAAATTTCGTACATTTTTTAACACAAACTTACAAAAAAGTGTATAATTATAATACAAAGTTAGATTACTATAAAAATGAAATGGAAACAATAAATATAATGAAACTTTCTATAAAATTAAATAATGAAATAAAAACTTATAAAAATAATATAATTAAAAACTTTAAGAGCAATCGATAACTTAATTATTATTGAATTATTAAGATAATTCTTGAAATTTGAAGACAAACAACTCTTGTTTAATTAGGGATTTTATAATTAATTAGAAGTATTGATCAAAACATTTGGGCCAATTATGTGTAATTAAAATAAGACAAAATTTACACAGTGATTTGAGATTAATAAATGAAATATTCTTTCATTGTTAGATCTAAAATTGTAACAAGAAATATTTGAGAATTTATGAAATATTAAAATTATCAAATTAACAGGTAAATATTGTTGAAATTTGCTCAGATCTTTGAAAATTTTAGTTAAATTAATCAAATTTTATAAAAATATTACTGAAATATTGTGCCTACTTCCTCATTTGTGCAAATCTTGTAAAATTTTATGAATTTCATGAAATTGATACACTTTTTTTGAAAATTGGAACATTTTTTCTAAAAATAAAAAGAAAATAACTGAAATTTTAAACAGCAAATGTATTTTTATGATCTCAGCAGTATGAGGTAACATTTTTGAAATTCAGTTGTTGAAAATAGTTTTACTTGATAAAAAAAAGAAATTAAAAGTTTACTCATTGATGGAAAAAAAGCCCCAAAATAATTAATATTTAATTATGATAATATAACAAGAAATTGCTTAATTGCAATTAGTATTTGAATATTGAAGTTCGAACACAGATCCAAAACTACAAATGCAAGATGCACGATCACTCATAATTTCTCCATGCATAATTGCTTTCCCAACTACACTTTCTACCATGGGAATTCTTGAATCGCACACGATTATAAACATAATAAACGTCTGCATTAACAATCTAACAATACAAAACAATATACAATTAAAACGTGTCAAACACGATTTTAAATATACACAAGTGATTGTACGTTAATTTAAGTGATTGTGAATTAATCGCGTGCAATTAGTGCAGATAATCATGTGCATTAGCTGGAAAGTAAGCAGATACATCTAATCTTGATAATTGCTTATTTTTCGAACGACCGAAGGAGAAACGGACATTCAGGTTTTAATGCGTGTCTCGTTTAATTGCAAAATTTCTCGACGATAAATTGCGAATCATTTTTCTTCTCGCTTTGCAAGTGCCGTTTTTCCCATGGATGAACGGAAATTGAAGGTTAATACCATCGCGAGTAGAAAGTCTTGTCTTCCTCTCAATCTTCTATACAATTGAAATTGTTATTATTATTATGTATATAAATATATAAATAAATGCGCTTAGTCAACACTGCGCTTTCTACTTCTTCTTAACCGGTAAATCCTATAAATAGTTGATTTATTAGGCTCAGAAACATTGAATCTGGAAATTATCTGGGTAGGCTTTGGAATTTGCAACAACCATCAATTACTCTACTCTATACTTCGTTTATTTGGTTGTTATGGGAACAAAAGTATATTGTTGTTAGAAAATCGGACTAATCGAGGAAATAAAATAAACCGCAAATGAATCCGGACTGATCGAAGTATTGCTGTATTAAGATGTTTCTTTTAAATTTTTATTACTTTCTCTGCTATTAAATGAATTCTGATGTCAATTTGTGATTTATTTGCGAGAAAATCGAATGATTGAAGTAGAAAACTTTGCGGATTGTTCGGCGGAGAAACGCGAAGACGACCATTGTTTCCATTGTTGCTAGATTGATAAAATTGATATAAAAAAGAGCATCTGGAAAGCGAGTGGTGAAGTGTGAAAAGGATTGTTTATTTTTTTTAGAAATGATGATACAATTAGTAATTTTACAATTGTAACATAATTGTGTTGCATATGAATAGAGTATAATTCTGTGACGGAGAATGGATGAGCTTTCTTCGGATATATTTACTATTAAGGTCAGCAGATGATGGCGGGAAGTTTAAAATTGCATCGATTGCAGGAAACAAGAGTATCATATGTAAAGAAGCGTCGAAATCTAATACTAATTGAGTGTATGTTTCAAATGTCGCAGTTTTTTTTTACATTAACCAACTTTAAAAAGAAATGGAATATTACAAGAAATAATAACATTTTCAATTAATTAACTTAAAATTAAGGATAATTAATTGAAATTAAAAGAAAACTGAAGAATATTTACTCAAATTTTTGTTGCTTTTTACAAACTTAAAACTTAACTTTATGTAGTTTATTAAGTTATTAAAGCTGAAAACTTATATTTTCTTAACTTATTTACGTGTTATTTGCGTACTTAATATGATAATTAAGAAGTTTTTTTATGTACATATGTTCAGGAGAAAAAAAAAGATCAGATTAGATGATGATATATTTACATTTCTAATGCTTTTAGCACAGAAACGACAAAGAAAAAATATACCTATATATTGTGTTTTTCTTTTCTTCTGCTTTTTGAAGCACTCAAAACTTCAAATACATACGATAATTCAGCATTTGCATCAGAAACTAAATACTTTTAACTTTATTTTCTTCTTAATTTCTCATTAATTTATTTTGAACTCACATTTTTTTTTCAAAATTGAAATTAAACATGTTTATTTTCTACAATTTCTTTCTCAAACTTTATTTTTAAAAAAAAATTTATAACAATTTAATACATTTACTAAATTTTCAAAAATATTCACAGATTTTGTCAATGAAATAAAATCAAAATTTTAGTTTTTTTTTTTCCAAATAAATTGAAAATTAATTGAACTTAATTATTTATTCTCTCACTTTGAAAAATCTTAAGTATTTCACTAATTTCTTAACATTTAGTGAAAGAAAATATTAGTAAATTAGATAAGAAAGGGAAATAAATCAATAAATATATTTAGTTTGCATTTTTTTATTGTTCACAATGTTTAATTTTTCATTAATATTTCGTTAATTCATATATTCTTGGTGATGTTTTTCATTTTGTAGTGTTTATTAATTAATAATTGTTAATTTTATAGATGAAATTATGATTGTTTAATTGATGTGGATGATTTACAGGTAAATTATTAAATTTTCCATTCACTTCATTCAACGCTGAGTTTTCTAATTAACGCAAAGTCTCTTGGAAAAGTAAAAGTTAAAACAATGGAATTAGGATGGATTCGTTGCAGTTAACAGCGAAACGTGAAAAGCGACATAAAATATATGAAAATATTTGTGTATAAAACAAAGTAATTTCAAGTGGTTTTCTCTATTAGACATAAGTAAACTTGACTAACCTTAAGAAAACTCTTTGCGAACTGATGAATCCTTCGGGATGAAAAAAAAAATTACTGTCGTCTTATCCAAGATCTCGAAGATCCGACGAAGAACTGACGTCGTTGCGAAAATCTGTGTCAGAACTGCGAACGGAACCTGCTCTGCGGCCCCATTTATAACATTGAACTTGAACGCAAACCGCGGAGGAATATCGGTACTTGCTACATGCGATTCCAATGCCAGAGGGGCATCCTCCTCACATCCTCTCCACCAACCTAGTCGCGAAAATATTTCACTCCTCGTATCTTTCGTCCTCGTTCCACACACGCGTCGCTCTCCATCGAGGAGCGGCCGTGGCCACTTTCCTCGAAGATCATCATCGTCGTCATCATTTTCATCAGAGATATCGGTCATCCTCTAGGCCCGTCTTCCAACTTTCGCGCATTTCATCGAATCGCTAAAACAATTTCACGAATATTCACACACAAATTTCAAATGAAACATAACGATGTTGAAAATAAGTTTCGGAAACACTGGTTCTATTGACTATATCAATATTGAACGATCGTAAATAACTCACACAAAACGCAGATTGTTGTTAGTGTTTAGCACACATTTGATGTAAATGAAAGCAAAAAAAACTTGCTGCACATTCAATACGCTAATAAAATAACTAAGGAAAAAAACTGCATTTCCTCACTTTATTAGTACAGTGCAAACAAGCGAAATGCTTTTAGAAATTCGTAAAATATTTTAAATCAATTTACATAATTTTTACAATATTTCAGTTAAAAAAAACTTTTATTTTCTGAAAATTTACATATGTTTATTAATTCAGCTATTCTTAACAATCTTTTAAATCAATTTAGATAACTTTAATATGTTTCAAATTAAAAAATCAGAAGACTTTGAAAATCTGCATTTTTATAAATTTTCTTGAAAATTTCACATATTTTCATTCAATTTTCATAGAAATTAAATTTTTTTTATTAATTCAGCTATTCTTAACAATCTTTTAAATCAATTTGGATAACTTTAATAAGTTTCAAATGAAAAAATCAGAAGACTTTCAAAATCTGCATTTTTATAAATTTTCTTGAAAAT